AAATTTTGTGTATATAGGTATGTATGCACTACTCACAATTAATAAAAAAAAATTAAAAACATTGATCTGCATATATTCTGTATTGATGATATATATAAATGCAATCTTAGAATTCTTTTTAAATTCTGAACCTTATAGTAAATGCCATAAACAGCAAATGTGGTCCTTATAGTGTGAATACGCAACGCTTAATGAACTATAACACTTTTAACAATATCTCTAACTGCTACTACTGAGTACCGGAAGATTTTACTTAACATTTTAATGCCATCAGTGCAATTTAAATACCTATAATATGCTTCCTGTATTAATCATGTTTAAATGTCAATTAATCATGTTTAAAATACAGTGAGAATATATCAGTGATTACATATGTCATATACTTTTATGAATGATACTGAAAGTAGACTGTGTATTTTTAAATAAATAACTTTTTCTAAATACAAAAGCTTTTTCTGGTTTCAAAGTCGACAAATGATAAAATTGATGGACTAAATTAAATAATCACCTAACAAATTAAGGAATCCAATTCTACTCAGACTGCAGATACTGTAGAGAAAGATAGAGAAACCGTATACCATGTGCTAGGGAGTCCCCGGCACTGATGCGCAAGCGCAAACACCTAGGAAGGTATTTCATGGAGCAAAGGGTTTCTAGACTAAGAAAGATAGGCTCTATACTGTCTTTTATTAAAGAAATCGGACTTAAAAAAACACTCTAATCCGACTAAGGGGCACAATAGATCTTTTAGGTCACAATTTATTATCCCCTTTTCATAATAATGATAATAATTAAATTGCTTACTTCTATAATGTTAATTTAGAATACTAAATATATTGTTTATTTTTCTCTTACACTTTCAACAATAATTGAAGGCCAGCATATATATATATTTGTATACAAAAAATGTGTTTATAAGATATAATTTTTTCCATATTATGGTTAAACCATAAATAATAAATTATTGTGGGAGAAGAATAATTTTAATGTGTTAAAAAGTGTTTTAATGAGAAACAAAAACAAAAATAAAAAATATATTATATATATTATTATTATTGTGTATATTCATTTGTATGTTTATGAGCTTTATTTTTATGTGGTAAAATTGTTTATTAAATATATTACCTTTTGTTTTCTGTAATTTTTACTTTATAATAAATATTTCTATTGTTCGCTGATGTTATCTGATTTTATAAAAAATGTTCCAAATCCTTGTTAAAAAACAAACCCTTTGTGGTTAATAAAAAACTTAAAAATAGTTAACAGCCACTAACTTTAAAAATAAATATAAATAAAAATTAAATTCTCATTAATCAAACAATACCTGCTATAGCCTTAAGTAATGGAGCATAAAAATATTATAAAATTTTTTTTCAATACATATTATTCATCAAATGCTCAATTACAAAATAAACCGCAAAATATGGAATTTCAACCAATTTTTTCCATGCTTTTTAATTTTTTACACAAATTTTTAAAATTATTTATGTATTTGCTATAAAATATGCACATTAAAGAAAAAAAAAATGATAAATAAATCTTTTGTTTAATATTAATAGCTATAAAAATACCAAGTGCAATTAGGAATGATGAAATAAATATACTGAATTTTTATAACAGCTTAATTTTTCATCTTCATAAATTTTTCATATGATTTTAGAGATATAGTTTCTGATGGTAAAAATACCGTGACATTCAAGTATTACTTTGTTTGTTACAAACTATTAGACTTTACAAAATATTCTAAGTGTAAAAGTAGTTTACAGTTAACGTCCAGAGTGCTATATGCGAAGACTCTCTAGATCTGAGTTGTACGCTGTTCCACATAATTTTAATCTAAACGTCCAGAGTGATATCTTTGAAGAATCTCTAAATTTTAATTGCTGTCTGTTCCACATAGTTGTAATCTAAACGTTCAGTATAATATCTTTAAAGAATTTCTAGATCTGAGTTGTTGGGTGTTCCGCATTGTTGTAATTTAAATGCCAATTAATATACAATAAGTATTGCTTCATAAACAATTTTATTATATTTTCAATGCCGAAAGGTGAATTATTGGAGAATAGTTTAAGTATTGTTTTATGAACAATTTTGTTAACGTTAATGTCGCCAACACATTAACCTAATCTTTAGTTTTGCTTTTTTTTTACTTGAACATGGATGTTCGAAGTCAGCCTTATTACTAAATATAAACCAATATAACTAGACTTTAATTTAGTGGAGAAAATTTGAAATTTTAATATATAACAATAATAGCAAAAATATTCTTCCATACATTCATAATATTCCCAAAACTTCTGCAATATAATCAAATTAGAATGAGAACTTCAAAAAGTTACAGGATTCATTTAAAAAGGTCAACAACTGTTGACAGCTAAACTTTTATAATTAACTTAATTAAAAACACTTGAAGTCTAAACTGTTTTTGGTTGTTTAGGCACATTGATGGCTGTTTCCTTTCATTAAAACCACTCAGGATATAAGGCAGCCATAGCATTTATAACTGCCGCATTTGATACCTCATGTTGTAGGAAATTATACTAGAGCACACAGAAAAATAAAACAAAAAAGCATAATAATACTTAATTAACTTCAATATTCAACAAAATGTAATTAAAAAGAACAGCAACAACAACAATGGGAACTATAACAACAGCAACAGCAACAGGAACAGGAACTGAAACAACAGACATAAAATAAACTGCAGTTACAAAATGGCGAAAACTTGAAGTTAATTGATGCCATACAATTTTGGATATGAGCTCAGTTAGGAAAAATGGCTCAAATTAAATACTAAAATGTCAAACTTTTGACTGCTCTCAACAATTTGAGCTGTTGACGAAATTTAATTTAATTAAATGTTAGATTTAATCTCATTAGAAAGAAATGAAATAAATTTGTTGGAAATTTGTGAATAACAGGAAGAAAATAATGTAATTAAATTTAAATAAAAATAAATAGAATTAAATTGCGCTTAGATGAATAATGAAGTATACGTATTATTATTGAAAAGAAGGGATAGTGCACTGCGACCTAAAAGATCTATTGTGGTTTTTAGTCGGATTAGAGTGTTGCTCCAAGTCAGATTTCTTTAATGAAAGACAGTGTAGTGGCTATCTTGTATAGACTTGAATCTTTATGAATCATAAAATACTCTCCTAGGTGTTTCTTCTGCTTGTGCAACACGCGTGGACCTTTTTCACTGAGCAAACTTTCTACAATAAAATTCTTATTTTATATATATTTTTAGTATTAATACTAAACTATTATTTCATAGAACAAATATTACAAGTGAAAAAAAAAACTTCTATAGTATAGTATTATCAGTCCTTAAACAAACAAAATTAAATTTTTAAACAAATAAATATTTGCACATAATTTAATTAAATATTTAAATATTTAATAATTTATTTACATACTGTTTAAGTCATAGCTGAAAATAAGTCATTCGTTAATTGACTAAGAATGCATTTCTACAAACAAACCACACTCTACATTGTATCCTTTTATACTCTACCTAAGGATATCTCCTTTATATAAATTCAAATAAATCTTTCAGCTATTTGTTCAATAGCAGTTAAATGACCGCATTTATGAAATATTGGTTGAGTTTCAAAATATAATTAAACATTTGAAATATTTACAAACCAAACCACGATTATTATTTTAAACAAAACTGACAATTACCTCAACGAAGAATAATTATAATATCTGATGTATAAATTATTCAAAGGAAATAAAATATTTAATATGAATTTGTACGTAATTATGAAGTACGAAGATATGAAAACAATTAAATGAATAAAATATTTAATTCCTTTTTTATGATTAATGATATATAAAATATGTTTAAATTACTTTTAAAGAAATTCTTGAAAGTATAAAGCTTTTAGATTCGGAATTCAATTAAAAGTGTATTAAAAAAAAATATTAGTTAATCTGCAAGTAATATTACTTCATCTTAATGTAAATGGATTAATGGTTGTATTAAAAGGCAATAAAGTTTAAGAAACTAATTTTAAATAAAAAATCTTTTACATAGTACTAATATGTAAATATTTTCTGATAAGCTTAATAAAACAATTAAACAAATTTCCTATAGCAAAACAAATTTACAATATTGTTGAGCTTTAAATTTGTATAAAAATGCATACAAAGGAAGACTAACCGCAAGTTAAATTTCAAGTTAAATAACTATATAAAAAAATGAACTATATATAGATAATAAACTTTTTTTAATTATAGAATTATAAATTCTTAAAAAATTCAGATCTCTTCAACCTCTTTGCAAAGAAGCTAGCATATCATACATGTTGAACACAAACTTACGGTTCAACCCGCTGACTCTACTTTAATCAAATAATCAATTATATCTTTAATAGTTTTTATAAACAACAGCTAAATAATTTTTTTAATAATTTAATTAATAATTTAAGAATATAAATAAACTATATGCTAATAAGATTGGGGACTTTTTTATTGGTGCTGGCGTAACGTAACTGACACATACATATAGTTTCTTACTCACCGCGATTAACACTTAAACTTGATCTAACCTGACCTAGGCACGTACAAAAATTTATATTGAACAAATTTAATAATTTTTGTTGTTGTCTTTCCTTTACTATTCCAATACTTCTAACTTTTAAAAATAACTCCTTTGTCGTCATAAAAAGCGTAGCTTATGGCAAAAATAATGAACTTTAACAAATTTATATACAGTTTATTGTAAAAATAGAACATAATATTAATAAATAACTATAATAAATGCTAAGAACTAATAATATTTTTAAATAATTTAAAATATTAATATATCATATATTTACATTAATTAATTAATAATTATAAAAATAATAAAAAAATTGTATATTATAAATAAATATTAAAATAAATGTATTTTTGTTTAATGCCATGTATGATAAATATTCTTATATGTTATATTAAATATTAATGTATTTTATTAATATCGAAATTATTTTTATATATTTTAGGCGCCGTAGGTGGTGATGGCGGTGACGATGCCGACGATAAGGAAAAGGCAGAGGAGGAGGAGAGAGAGCGTCAGGAGGCCATACGCGAGGCTGAAGAACGACGAAAGGAGAAGCACCGTAAAATGGAAGAGGAGCGTGAAAAGATGAGGCAGGAAATTCGTGATAAGGTAATATTTAAATAAATATTGTTTAATAGGCTTAATAATAATAGCTGTGTATGGAAGATAACTGATAAGAATGATAAGGTGCTTTTCAAAAGCTACATTTATGCACTAAAACGGCTTCTTTCTGTAATTGAAGAAGATTCAAACCTACGTCCACTTCACCTACCTACCTATCTTATTAATAATAGGTATTTGTAGTGTCTGTAAGATAATTTCTTGACTATTATAATAGCAAAATTTCTAACGTTATAGCAAATTTGTAATATATTGTGTACCTGTTAAATATAGTACTATATTTTTCCTAGGACTTTACGTTTATATCAGAAAGTCTGTGTCGGTGAGAGTTTTCAAGACGAATCTTAACCTTAATATGAATTTTGTTCTTAAAATATTTTTTGTTTTTAAGATAAATTTTGTTTCTTAATAGGAATTTTATTCTTGAAATGAATTTTGTTCTTATGATGAATTTCTTTCTTAAAATGAATTCTGTTCTTAAAATGAATTTTGTTCTAAGTTTAATTAAGATGAATTTTGTTTTTAAATTATATTTTGTTCTTAAGATGAATTTTGTTTTTATGATGAATTATGTTCTTAAAATGACTTTTGTTCTTATGGTGGGTTTTGTTCTTAAGATAAATTTTATTTTTAAGATGAATTTTGTTTTTAAGATGAATTTTCTTCTTAAGAAGAATTTTGTTGTTAAGTTGTTTTTTTTTTTTAAGATAAATTTTGTTCTTAAAATGAACTTTGTTCTCAAGATTATATATACATATCTGAATACTTACCCAATGTTAAACCTTTTTAGTATACAAACTTCATATTTAGAAGTGAAAATGAGTGTAATTAGGGTCTTGTATCTAGCTACATTATGCTTGGAAAAATTTTGAACTTAAGCACAATTAAGTGCATTCCAGTAGTTGCCTGCATTTACTTTCACCTATTATTTAAAAGCAATTAATATCTATTATAAACATATATTGTATTAATTTCTTAGATTACTAAAAGTAATCACTTATTTTGTTTACTTATTCCGATTTATTCTGAGTTGAACTTTATAATATAACATGAACCCTAATATATATGTGATGTTCGCCATTATAAAACCTTATTCCTTTCTATAATTTATATGGAATAAAATAAATATATCATCTAATATTATGTATTAAAGTCTTGTATTTTATTACAAATTACTTTTAAACGGTAATTATTAATGAAAGTGTATTTGCTCGTCATTTACATTTTTAATGACTACTTATTTATTTTTTGAGTTTATTAAAATGTTGAAGTGTCCTTGCACGATTAATTATTGGAAAAATCTTTTCAGTTTATTTCACACTGACCACTTATAAAATATATACAATTGCATATATGTGAAGAGATTAAAGTTTTTTAAAATAAATTTTATTTATCCTCAACAAGAATGGATAAAGGCATATTTTCATTAATAAAGTTATTCAACAAAAATTATTTAAAAAATGTATGCGTTATTATTGATGATACCTATTATGTTGACAATATATGACTCCATAATGAATACATAATGTATATGATATAAATGCCGCAAGCCTTCTACAATAACGGAAAAGTATATATGAAACTCTTTAACTTTTATTAATGCAAAGAGCAAAGAAATCCTTGCAAGCAGTCATTTTCATTTTCATTGTCCTTGTCATTGAGCATTTTTTCATTGGTTGGCAAGCTTTTAACCAAAATCGTGTCGGAAATGCCGTTGTTTATCAATAAAATTACAAGCAAAAATATTTTTTCACTCGAATTGCATAAATTCCCATTTCGGGCATATCGTTGAGTGTTTTTTATTGAATTTTCGGTATTTAAATTAAAAACATAAAATTCCAAATTACCGAAACAGAGACGAAATTTTATTATGCACATATTTTACATAGTTTTTCATCTCGACTTACAACTGAGTGGGGAAGTGACTTGTATATATTTCTGTTTTTATATGCGTATCTGCGTATCTGTGCGTACGTGCGAGGACTACATGTGAAGAGCCACAGTGTAAAGGGAAAAATGTCAAACGATTCATGAAAACTTTTCCATTAAAAACTTTGTAGATATTTTATATTGTTTTTCATTGTTTTACGAGAATGATTTCCTTTCTTTTTATTTTTGTTATTTATTTTATTTTTTTTTTATTTTTGTAAGTATTTTTTTTTCATCATATATAGTTTGTTTTATTTCTGTTATTTTTGCTGTAACAGTTTTGTTATAAATTTTTATTTAATTTTTTTTTTTTTTATACGACAAGAGTTTTTTTATCTTTATTCTGTCCTGACTTGTATGCCGAGCTTTAATATGAGAATTTGTATTCGAGTATGAACTGAAAACTTTCAAACTTGCAACGATTATTTACATGCAAAAAGTTGCATGAAAAATTCGTATCATGTTTTATGTTGCCAGTATCTTTCGTTGTCATGAAAAATGGACAAAGCAAAAAGTAATCTAAAAGATGTAAAAAATACAAAAGACAAAAATGTTCACAATAAGCAATTTTCAGTATGCAGAATTTCGCATGCACGTACTTCTTGTTTACATGGCAAACAGGGTGTTTACATTTTAAAGTAGCAGTTTTCGAAATACAAAAACATGTGTCCTTAGTTAGATTGTTATATTCTTAAGCTAACATTCGTAACTTTAACGTAAACTACAAGTTTTAAATAAGTGAACTTTAGTTTGAAGACTAGTCCATATTAGAAAGAAGTGTCCTAAGTGCATAAAGATATGGTACATATTTTAATCATTTTTAATATATCTATAGTTGTCGTAAATTACAAGCTGTTATCGTTATTTTGTTATTGTAATCTCCTTTTCATGGTATTTGTATGTTCTTTGTTTCGATTTGTTGAAATCACCTTAAGATATGGATACAAAACAGTAGTATTTTTCTTAGTTCAGAGATCTCACGACATAATTCTGTACTATTACAAATAAAGAACTTATCTGAACACAATTTCTAATGAAAAGTTATAAATTTTATACAGTTGATAAGTATTAAAATTATAATCAGTAACAGTTTTAATATCAATAATATTTTTTATGGCAACATATATAAGAGTTTCACATTTTCCACATATTGTTTTTTTCAAATCCTTTGTTATTTGTTTAAACTCTTTATTATTTTATTTTTGAAGTGCTAATACATAAATAAATTTAACTCAATCCTTCTGGAGTTCAAATTGACTCTAGTAGGGAGTCCTTTTAATGAGCGACTCCCTAACGGAGTCAGATTGAATTACTCTTGGGCTTAACAGCATACTGTGAATTAAACAAAAGTGTGGTTTAAAATTTTAAAACAGTTTAAGAGTTTATATTTAAAAGAAGATAGTTTGAAAATAATATATTTTGAAAGTGAAACCAAGTTATTTTAAAAATTTAATAATAATAAAATAAAATAATAGAATAATGTTTAATATAAACAGTGAAACTTAACAGTGTCATATACATTTTATTTAAGTACAGAGATTTTTAATATTTATTATAGTTTCTATTATTTTTATTAACACTATTTTGAGTTTTTTTTTAATTTAAATTTCTTAATATTCAAAGTACACTTTTTTCGAATTTTTTGAAACTATGTTTAATATATTTACTTTCTCCATCATTTACAATACTTATTTCTGGCAGTTATTTCTGCTTTACTTCATTGTAAAGAATTTTTAAAAATTTGTCTTCATAGTGCATAATTCTAGCCCACTCCGAACAAGATCAAGAATCTTTTTTCGAAATGTTTTCTATTGAAGATACGACTTCAATTCTATTGAAGATACGACTCCAATTGGATTTATTAAATTCAGTGATCCAAAATATGATCCAAAATCTACATTTAAGTTTTAAAACATTTTACACTATACACTAAACATCTAACCACAACTAAATATAAAACACTGTACATATCTTTCTTCAGCTAATTTTCTATTGAAGATACGACTTCCATTGGATTTATTAAATTCAATGATCCAAAATATGTTCCAAAATCTATATTTAAGTTTTAAAACATTTTACACTACACACTAAACATCTAACCACAACTAAACATAAAACGCTGTACATATCTTTCTTCAGCTAACTTCTTAAGCTCAAGGTTGCTTATTAATAAGCTAAATTGAATGAGCTTCAATATGATTTAAATTGTATTTTACGACATTGAATGATCCATAATATGATCCAAAGTCGTCATTTCAATTGCTTTTCACTTAAACACTTTACATATCTTTCTTTAGCTAACCTGTTAAACTCGAAGTTGCTTTTAAATTTGCTAAATTAAATGAGCTTCAAATACGTCGTCATTGAATTTTATAAAATTGAATGATCCAAAATATGATCCAAAGTCTACATTTCAATGCCAAATGCTTCTCATTTAAACAATATACATACCTTTCTTCTGCTAACTTCTTAAGTTCGAAGTTGCCTTTTAATAATCTAGATTAAATATGCTTGAATTAATTTTATAATTAATTGTTTGCCATATAATAAGTTGCTAACAGACATTAACAACCTTAAGCTATGAAAGTACTTAGGATTTACCTAATTAACAGCATAAAAGTTAAATGAATAGCCACAAATATGCACATAAATACTTTAATCTTTACGTGCCGCAAGTGAGAATTCTATTAGGGCTTGAATCTATTAACCCAACAATAACTAACAAAAACAAGAAGAAGAATAGCACTGTGAGAGAGAATGAATAAAAGACAAATAATTTGTTACATTTAGCCTTGGTAAACTAAAAACGTGGCGTATCTCACATAAAAAACAAGAAAAATAGCTAAAGTGTGTCGTGCCGCAAAATGTTGCCTACAACACTTACGCTTAAGAGGAAATCAATACGTTATTGAATTGCCGAGTTAAGCACCTGCACGTCTCACTTAGTTGCCTCATGCCACCAGCCAAACGGAAGGTATAAAAATAGTAGGAAAAAAATTCAGTACAAATATAAAAGTGAAATAAATGTTTATAAGCTTTCTAAAGAAGAGTGAAAATGAACGTGCTCACTGGCGATGTTCAATGCCTTTCCTTTATTCTGCCAAATAAGCAAGAAATAATCGATTACTTATTATGGCTAAATTGAAGCTAAATTTAATCCTACACTCACTCACAAGCTTTGCAATCTAAATATATTTACTATATTTTAGTGCATTCAATATCAATTTAATTGTTTTACGTATTGTCTTTAATAAAGTTAATTAAAAATAAATAAGCATTTCAATGTTTACATACTGTCTGCATAAAAATATCACTCATACGACATGCGTTCCCATTCTATATGTTAATATGCTTAATTAGTATGCATTAGTATGTGTCAAGGGTTTTATGCCAAATTGGCTATGCTTCAACTTACTAATTACATTTGTCAATTAATTGCAATTGTGGTCAATGCCTATGGTAAAATGTGTAAATCGGAAACGGAAACCAATAAGGTCTGCCAATGACAATTATGCTAATTGTTATCATATGAATACGGAATTTAATGGATTAGAAGTATTTGAGAAAAGCTCGGAATGGGTAGATTTTATACAAGTAATAATTTAAGCTTATTAGAAATTTTAAAGTTAGTTTGGAATGAAAAATAGAATGAAATATTACGTTATTAATAGAATATAAGGAAAAGGGAAAATAATCTCAATATTACGAAGGTTATAGCTTGAGAATATATCTTTTATATGCTTTAAGTAATATAGCAATTCTTGTGAGATGTTTGAATTCTTAAAGAGAGATAAAAGATTTATTTAATTTATCCTTGTTGAAGTCATTTTAATAAAGGATATATTTCTTGAACTGAAAATAACAAAAAGAATAGTAGATGGAAATAATAAATAAGAAATATTTTAAGTTATGTATTTAATGAAGACTAGCAGCTAGTAGCCAAATAACTAACATTCGCAATCTTTCCCCGAAACGCTGAGCTCCTCTCAAAATCAGAAAAAACGATCTGTCTTTTTATTTTATTTTCTAAATAGACTTGTTCTGACAAAATAAAACACATATTTTTCGATACATTTCTTATAGAAAGAACGCTTAGATCTTCCATTTGCTCAAATCTTCTGTCAAAATTCTATACGCCAGACTTTTCGATATCCCAGTTTTCTTTTTACCGTGTGTCGCAGATACACAGTATCACCTCAATGTATGTTTCGAATGCTTTGTTCATTGTAAGTGATTCCTATTAGAATTGTTCCATCATTGCCTTTAAGGTCTACACTATCGCCACGAAACCAACGAAAAGACATTTGTTTCAGTATACTTTTTTAACATATCACATCTCATCTTTCGAGCCCTTTTGACTTAATTTAAGAATTTACTAACCAGTCTTTAGTCTTTATTGGTTTTACAACGTATGTCATATTACCATGCATGTTACATTACGTTAAATGTAATAATTTGAACTCTTGTCATCTATTATTGATGTTATTTTGTTGAAAATGTTTAAGGACCAAGCCTTATCAGAGCTGAATCGCCATGTTTATATTTAAATAATTAAATTAGATTTAACTAACTAGCTCATAAATGCCACCGTGCCCCTTTGACACGTTTTCAAAATTATATTGGTCAATTGGTTAATTTTAAAGTGCTTAATATTATTCGGAAGCACTTTAGTTCCGAACTTTATAACATTTTGAATAATAGAACCCATCAGTTTTCGTTAAAATACTTTGACTGTAATAAACAGATGGCTGACGAATAAATAGCAATGGTTAGAATATAAAAATAGAAATAGATAAATAGTAATAAATAGAAAAATACATATAAAATAAAGGGTTATAAACAAGAATTATTATACCTAATATATGATAATAGTAAATGTAAAACTAATATGTAGTATATACCACATCAAAGTGAAGACATACCTTGTTTTAAATAATATTTCGACAGAGATAAAATATGTAAGCAGAATAATCCTATTCGAGTAAATTTTAAATCAAATTAAATTTGAAGTGTAAGTCACTTTACAACAATAAGCACACAATCCTTCTTCAATGTCCTTTTCAGCCAAATTCTCTTCGTTGCTAATAAAATAAGAAGTACTCAACACAAAAACAAAGTAGTATCTACTTTTTCGGTTCGTAGTAAAATTACTACATAACTCGTGATGGAAACGAAAAAATCTATTGCTTCCACGAACACTAATCCCCAACTGAAATATTTTTTGACTGCTGCCAACTTCAAGTGTAATTCAATTTGTGAATCCAACGTGGCAGCCAAATACGCATACTAAATTTGAACAAAAAAAAAATTTATGAAATACAAAAACTATAATAAAAGCCAAGGACTTATGAAGCATCCATAAGAGCAGGAAATAAATTTTTGAGTTCATGAGAAGCAATTGAAGTTGACATAAATTAAATTCAGTGGTTGTCATGGTGCTAAGTGAATTTTTCGCATAAACTTATCTAAAAAAATAAAAAATATTTAAACCTTTTGTCTATTGAAAAAGTTTATGCAAACTAATAACTTTCTACTCTTGTTCTTCTTTTTATCTATTTTTCTATTATAGTATAATATCAAGAAAAAGGAGGAAATTGTTGAAGCCGCGCCGCAGGAGGAACCAAATCCATTGATGCGAAAGAAAAAGACTCCCGAAGAGTTGGCAGCTGAAGCTGAGCAAGAAGAGTTGGATGATTTTACAAGTAAGTTTAAAAATATTCCAATGTACTTTAATGCAAGTTTTTCTTTGCATTATTTTAACTAAACCTAACACTAATAATTTTGACTACTATTCTTTCATAAGTAATTTTGAAGTGTGTGCAGCAAAATGACTATTGTTTTTATTTTCGTTTGTAAATTTAACTATATATACTTAATTTTTTTGTTTTTTTTTGGTAATAACATGCAAGAAACTATCGCTTGAACTAAAATACACTGCAAAAAATACTACGTAAAACTAACAAAAACTAATTTTCCGTCTATCTGTAAACGCTATCTCTACTACTATTTTAACTACAAATATCACTATTTCTACTATTAAAGCTACTATCTAAACAAATACAAAATACTACAAATTAATGCTAAAATTTCACAATTAATTCAGTGAAGCATTGAGTAATTTCAATGTTGACGAAACTTTATTTACTTTCCACGTTGGCATTAAAATAAATCAATGTAACTGAATTGGTTGAAATGTATTTCAAAGTAAAAGAGAACATAAAATAAAAGTAAGAAATAAGCTACAATAGTAAATGATTACGGTAATAAAGTCAGTCAGTACTGCAGCTAACAAAGTCGCGGTATTATTTTGTAGCTCAACTGTAACTATTTTGGATGTGTGTATCTCAGCATAACATCATCAGCTTCACAACAAGGATAACGAATATAAACACAAATGTATCTAGATTTGTTTGCGTAAACTCATTGTATTTTTGTATTTGTAGTGCAACTAACACAAACGTCTACTAACTTCAAACAGAAACTGTAAAACTTTAAATCTATATATGTGTGTGTGTATAACTTAAAACAAATTTTGCTATAATCATCATTTTAATTTTAGCATTTTAGTAATCATTTATTTTCTTTACAATAAATAAATTGTATGCTAAATAATTTTTCATATATTAGTTTTTAACTTAAATTTTTCTTTTGTATGCACTTTAGTAGTTTTAGTAAGAAAAAATTGCCAAACTTTATAAAATAAAAAATTTAAATCTATTATATATAAGATTATATTAAATTTAATATTTACTTTTTAATAGCGCACAAAATAAAATGTATGAAATCATTAACTGAAAAAACGTTCATAATTATTTTTTAAAAAATAACATATATATATTTATATTATCATATCTTAACATGAGGCAGTTGCAGATAGTGTTAGGAATATGAATAAACAAGGTACCAATTCCCAACGGAGCACTGCGACCATGGTTGATATTTTGTGCTGCAACAGACCCTAACCGAACAGAAGACATTCCGCATTCCGAATAAAAGCCAGAATGTCGGCCGTTGAGGACCTCCTAAATTTTTAAATAGATAGTGTTAGATTCTATATTACTTTTTGCTATATTTTTGAACTTATTAATATACAAAATATGTTTAAGAAATACGCGATTACTGTTTGGTGCTGAACGGCATGAAACATCAGGTTGCCTTCATAGTTAGATTAAGTTATAGTTGCTGTTTTTGAGATCTACTTAAGTTAATTAACTTATTGTGTTACAATTTTATTATATGAGGGACTTGAATCCGTACAGAACCACTAATGAAAGTTAATATACTACTAATGAAAACATTCTGCAGCTAATTAAAATTGTCTAGAAAATATGTTATGAGCATATTTAATCTATATTTCACATGCGCTGGATGGTGATAAAATTGATATGCTACTTTTTTCGTCCTCTTAATAGCTGCGACAAAAATCACTAATAAAAATTATTAAACTTTAACGTATTATCCTAACCAACAATGATTCATAGTAAAACCTTTTATGAAAGTGACAACTTTAAAAGACATGTCATTAAAAATATTTGATTTTATTTGTCATATTAGATTATTTAAAATAATTCAGATATTTTATTTAATTTATATGTACACAAAGTCAACAAATTATTAATAATGGAGTTTTTGACCAGTACGTTTTTATTGTTTTAGTTAAAAACAATAGTTTTTAACTAAGTCAACAAATTATGTTTTCAAATTTAAATTAATTTAAAAGGAATTACAACAAAATGACATTGATATACTATGCTTTACTCTACACATTATAGTATATAATAGCAAAAATTATTACAATAAAATACTTCTCAAGTTAAACTTATCCTACTCATAGAATATATTGCCCACGTTATTCTTCAAATACATAGAAACAGTCAATAAATTCAAATTTTGTTTGATATTTAACCAAAAAAGGAAGTTTTATTCAGTGTTCAAAATAAAACAAAACTTTGAACTATCCCTTAAAGCTATAAATAAAGGATTCAAAGAATTAAATAAACGTTTCATATATATAATTTCTTTTTTTTAAATTTTAATCAAATACTTACTTGTTCAAAAAATTTATTCAAAAAATTTTTATAATTCTATGATCCGTAATATTCATCAATGTTGAAATCAAATCAAAGGATACGTTTGCTGATATGTTATTTCACTGCAGATATTTGTTTTGATAACAACCTTTTGAGTATACAATTTGCAATAATAAAGTTATGCGTTGGATATGACAAATCGGAAAATTTCAATAATATTACGAAATATTTATCAATCACTTTTTACTGTATAGAACATCATTGATTTTTTAATATTTTTAAAATTAAAGAAAATTTGATGCAGAAAATATCAGAAAATTTGATATTGAAAATACTTTTGTACTCTTGCTGACTAAACATATTTTAATTATGGCAGAAGTATGTAATATACTTTTTGATATTTATGAGTAGCTAATTGTAATAGTTTTGTAAACAATGAAATTAAAAAGGTTTTACTTCAATAACTACAACTCAAATCTTCGCATATTATTTTATGCCATTCTATTGAACTGATTTGCACTACATTGCGTATGAGTAACTTTCGTTTGTCAAGGCAGCTACATGGTCATTCTTTGCTGTTGAGGTTAAGAAATGGAACAAGTAGTCACTAAGTAAGACTCAAGTAAATGTCATAAACACTGCGAAATAGTATCGTATTACTTTGCATATCTTATATATTCACTTATATGTTGATATAACAATGTATTCGACGTTTTGCTCCATTAGTAAATACACAAGCACGAGAAGGAATCAAACGCAGTAATATATGAGTATGAATTGTTGTTCTTTAAGGCATTTATAACTTTCTGTCTGTCATTATAAGTAAGAGTGATGAATGAGTGGCAATGATTAAAGATGCATTTATCTTAGTTTCATAAAATTACAATTACTGACAAAACAACAATACCATAAAACTGTTTTATATGGCAAAAGTTACTTCATCTGAAATGCAAAAATAAATGAAACTTGTAAAAACTTTAGCAAGTAATTTTTTTTAACTTAAATTGATTTATTATGTAAAATACAAAAATGATATAATGCCATTTAATGAGCTTAAAAAGATTATTAAAATGTAGATTAAAATTGTTTCAATAAAAATACCACAATCATTAATTACTCATGAGATACTTTTTGCAAAGAGAAGTAATTATAAAAAAATTCTTGTGATTTAAAAGCCTTACCGATTTTCATAATTGCAACATAATTTTAATTGAAATATACTCCAAACTTATGCGCAAAATGCTGTTTAATATTTATGAGCTTTCATTTAACAGCCTTGACAGACGATAAGTCGCGCTGTACCTGCAGAATATATTAAAAGTTGTAAGCTCGTTTAAAATTTAACAATCCGCAATTAAAACACGAATTTCAGTTTCAAGCTAAAAGTTGTCACTTGGCGTTTTGTCCTTAACGTGCAACTACAGCCACAGGCATTAGCACAAATCTGCATATTCAACTGCAGTTCCAGCGTTTTTATCTTTTTCTTAAGCCACACTTGAGCTACATTTTTTACTGCTCCTCCTCTGGTATATGTTATTTAATGCTTAATTTATGCAAAGGGAAATTTACTAATTGGATGAAATAATTTTTTTACATATTTTCAATTAGGCAAAAGAGTCTGTTTTTTTCTTCTTAAATTGAAGATTAAGAAATTTTTTAGTACAAAATTTTGTTAAGGTTTTCTTACTTAACCAAGTAATTTGCATGTTAATTTGTGTAGATCTAAATATGTTGAGATGCCGTCATTACTTATAAGATTTTTGTGTATATTTTCAACATTAAAACCGCGTAGCATTTTAATTTAATCAAATTGCGAATTTATACCTTCACATTACTGACCTAAACATGCGATGTTAGCATAATAAATTCCTATTTTATGGAAACTTATTTAAAAATTCATGATAAGCACTTGAATTATGGCCGAAATTTAATGGATTGGCTAGAAATTTATTTGAGCAAAGTCGTTTTCAAGAATTTATGCCAAACATTAATCATTGCGGCAGTTGTAATTAAACAATAAAAAAAATGTATTAAAAATTGTAATGAGAAGGACATAAAAGATTGAAAGCATTAGTACGTAAAATCAAGTTGAAGGTATTAAAATCCGCTTAATTAAAAATTTTTACAAAATTCGAAGAAATTATTTTTTTTATTGAATCATTTTGTTTTACTTATAAGAAGTTTAGAGGAAGGTCAACTTAAACATTCATGCCAAAAAATAGTACAACCATTATTTATTTTTCACAGTTTATATATTTGATCTTGTCTTCTCTCACTCTCTCTACATTTGTGGAGTCATATAATTCTACATATTTTCTTCCGTCAGTTCAGTTGTATTTATTTATAACCATTCCAATGTTTACAAATTTCTCATTCTCAACGTGAATAAATTACTTTTAAAAATTGACTAGTCCTAAAACTAGATACGTTATACTCAATCTTTGGGATCTTTGGGAAGACCGGTGATCTTCTAATAGATGGTATATAGCGGGATATTCTATCAAAAATCAACTAAAAGTAAAAGAAAATATTGTTTCACAAAACAGCAATTTTGTCCGGTTTTATTAAGTCAAAATATACTCCCGTATAAGAGTGATATGCACTACGATTATCTAAATAAATTCTAAATAATTTGTCAGTGTCATTTAAACAAAAGATACATCCACCGTTATATAAAAAATTTATGCACTGTGTATATAAATTCACTTGACATATGTTTCAAAAGTATATGAAAAATATATTATCATTCGACTGCAAGTTAATATATCTTTTCAACTTTCTGCTTAAATATATAGTTACACAAAATGCTTGAATTTCGTTGCACAAATAGAAAATTCATATGTAATCGTAAAAGAAAAACGATCTTAAATGAACTTAAGAAATATTCTAAAAACGTAAAAGTTGAGAATGAAGAAAAAATATTTTATAACTTTTATCTTTTTAATATAAATTTAATGCTACTGTAATCTCCTTCGATTCAAGTTTTAAAGATACTAACGAAAATGTAGCGATATCATTAAATAGGTATAGCTCATCCGCGAAATATTCAAACTGAATTCTGAATATAACTAAGAAATTTTCTATGCCTATTAATGTATTACCCTTAGATATAGATAAATTTCATTTACTATGTAATAGTGTTATATGTTTATAGGCAAGTAGTATACTAAAACAGTTATCTTTATATAAATATTTTTATTAAGACTATTTTTAAATAAAAATTTGCAATATCAACTATGCAAACGTATACATTAATTTCCATAATAGCTTTACTAAGTCCTGTTCCCATTTTAAAAATATTTTTTTTAATTGTACTGCATTTATATAAGAAAAATAATCTTACGTGATCTAACTTTAATCCAAATATTATAATAGTTCAAATGAAATGCTTGTACTGCAAAACTATATTTAATCCAACTTCGTTAAGTTGCTTGTTTAACCACTTGAAACTAATTTCCCCTTTATTTCTCGCTTAAAGTATTATATCTTGCAGTTCATGACTTAACCCAGAGTACAGAGTACATAAAATATAAAACCCATTTTAAGTAAAAACCGCAGAGTTTTTTTTTTCTGAGCAAAAATCAGTGTCAAAATAATAAAACTTTTCCCACAACTCACGCGAAAACAAAAACTTTTCTGATTTTCATTTCCTCAGTTTATTTTTTATTTTTTGCATTTTTGCGTTTTTGTACTCCTCTATATTTCTTCGTTATTTTCTGCAACATTTTCCCGACTTCTCCTCCTCCGGCAACATTTGTATTGTATATACTTTTTATGTAATTTTCCGAGTGGTTCAGAGAAGTACGAAACTTTTTTGTTGCAACGTTTCACACAATTAACGCGCTCGCAGCTTTATTAAATGTTGACAATAAGCAAATGTACACAAAACTTGCTGCAGTTAAACGTGCAAAAAATTAGTTTGTAACATTAATGCTAAAAAAACAAAAACAACGATTTAACATTTCTATTTGTTTATTTACTATTTTGGTTTTTGTTTTTGATTTATAGAAATATCATAGAGAAAACTCAATAAACTTTTGCTGGAAGTTAACATTTAGGATTGCATTTTGATGACTTCATTTCGTACTACATAGTTTATTACAATTCATTATTTCATAATATAATATAAATAAATAAATATAAATATATAAATAAAATATATAAATAAATAAATATAAATAAATAAATAAATAATTATAATAAGTTATAAAAATTTCCATATTGGAAACGTTTCTAAAACATAATAATGTAGAATGTGGCATAAAGAGCTTATTAGGAAAATTGCACACTTATTACCTCAGTGTTCAAAACCTATTTTCAAGACAGATATTTTTGTTAAAAACAAAAAAACAATAAAACCTCTCCAATTTCACCTATAAATACTGGCTTCCTTCATATTTATACTTCAGATATTAACAAATATTTCAGATAATCTTACAAAACAACGTCTTGCCACTACAGACACCTCCACAAAGTATATATCGCGAAAAACAAACACCTTATCAAATCAGATACTCCTACAAATAAACGCATTTTTATGTCTAGAATAAATATCAAGTCCTCAAATCACACTGGATTAATTTTTGAGAATTAATTCAAAGAACTTATATTTCGATATTTCTACAAAAAATAATCGCATTTTTATTTATAGAATTAATATAATGCGCTGAAGTCACACTGGATTGATTTTTAAGAATTAATTCAAAGAAATTATTTTTTAATATTTGTGTACCAAAACATCGTGCCCCTTTAGATACCCCCATAAAAAAACGTCTTGTTTATATACATTTGGCTTTAGGTTCTGAAGCCACACTTAAGCAATTCTAGTGGTTAATTTTAATAATTTTTATAAAAAATTAATTATTTTTTTGCTCTATTGTCTATTTATTAAAAACTTAAAGTTAAAAAAATAACGAAGCGATAAATATGTTGGTCAACACCTTTTCGATACGTTTAAAAATCATTCAAAGTTTCAGTTTTTCAGTATATATTTATATTATAGTATGTACTTTTTATTAATTAAGGCAATTCACTAATAGTAATATTGTTATAAATAAGAAATGTTTTATTAATAATTTAATTTCTTTAATAAGTTATTTTCAGATAACATAGTATGTTTGGCAATTTATTCTTTAGTAATGGGTTTTTAGCACGATTTCCATTTCGAATTAGCACTTTTTTAGCTTTAATATAATTTTTTAATTTAGCAAAGTGACGTTAATATACTTTTTATAAAAAAGAACATTTATTTTACTAAAATTGGTATTGAAATTATAACTTTAAACATTTTTCTTCCATACATTATTTTAAAAAAATTTCATTTGTATTTTAACTTTTTAAATTTAATATATTTATTGCTAAATAATTTCTTGCAATTCAGTTAAATATTTAAATAACAAACAAATATATATACACACCAAATAATTATGCAAAAACCAACAATAAATAAAAAAATATATATATTTAAATAAAGTATATATGCTTTTCCCTCTTTTTCTATATATGGTCTTTTTTTTTTAAACTATTGCTAATATTGAATAACTTCACCTAAAAACTTATTATTTTACTACTTTAACTATATATGCATTCAACATAAATAAAAAAAAAATATTTAAAAAAAAGAGTGATATGTTGACTGCAAATATACAACTATTTATATATGCGTATATAATTTTGTATGTATTATATGCCAATTTATGTGCCAATTGTATACAAATACCTTTGTATATTATAATTAGAACAATACATACTTCTACTAACACACACTTTTATATATGAAGATACTATTGTAGTCTATCCTACAATAACACGCTTATTTATTGCTGTTTCCATTACTCAATTTCTTTTTACAGAACTGAAAAATCAAATAGAAACGCAAGTAAATGAGCTAAAAACTCAAATAGAGGGAAAATGTGTCATGCAGTGATATGTCATCATATAATTATATAAAATGTTATAAATCAATAATAAAAAAAGTATATAACATTAAAATGAATTTAATAAATAAATTGATAATAAATAATTAAATTGAAACAATAAAATAAATAATTAAATTAAATAAAAAAAATACAATAACTCATATATTTAATAACAAAAATATGGCAAGGAATTTTAATAAAAACATAAAGACGGAAAATTAAATGAATCGGGCAAGCTACACTAACAAAAAACAAAAAGCAGTAATAAATTATTATTATATATTATAAGAAAATATATAACAAAATATATAAACAATAAAAATTTAAAATAATCCATATACGGGCGTATATAAAAGGCAGTTTATAGTCAACATTAACATATATACAAACAAATACAAAAAAATATATATACCAAAAGAGCAACACTCTACCAATAACTAAAAGAAATACGTATATATATATAACAACATATGTATATAGTGGTCTATTAGTATTAAAACAACAAAAGTAATATAAAATTTATACGTGAAGCAGCACTACAAACATTCAAGTAACATCCGTTTCCGTTTAAAAAAATAAATTGACTTAATTTGAAACTAATAACAAGAACAAGAAAAACACATCTATAAAATCATACTCTCTCTCTATGACAACTTCACGACAACTGCAGAAACAATCACTACAAAACCACAAATTCGCAAAACTACAAAATTTCTACAATAACTGCAACACTACAAAACTACAACACACACAGTCCTTCAAGCGTTGGATACAAGCGCTGGCCACAACATAAATTTAATGAAGCTTTTGTCGCAAGCTTTTGTAGTGTTGTAAGTGCAACACAACAACACTACAAAACTACAAAACACATTATCCTCCTCCAAGCGTCGGATACGTATTAAAGCAAGCGCTGGCCACAAAATAAACAAATAATGAAAAGCTTTTATCGCAAGCGTACTCTTAGAGCTTTAATTCGGCCCCCTACATCGCTGTCGCTGTAGCTGTTCCGTATACTCAAGTAGTAAGCCGCAAACAAAACTCAAGATACTAGATAACTGAATTATCGTAATGCTGACGCACTGCGTATCTACGTTAAATTAACGTAAAATGCCTTTCAAATATATTATAATAAAAGATTTATAAAAAAAAACATTACAATATATATAAAAAAAGAATATATATATATACATATAAAATCTAAATACTAAGAATAAAAACAAAAACAACAAATGATTATGGAGCGTAAATAACTCAAAATAAATTGTTATGAAAACTTGTTTTAGACTTAAACTAGCTGAAAAAACTGTTTTTTAGGATGTCAAAATTTTTTAGACTAAATAAATAAATTAATTTATTTTAAATAAAAATGATATTTAATTAAATATATATATATATATGTATATGTAGCGTACAGCACGGTATGCACATATATATTTGATTAGTTTGAGAACTTGCATTTCGAACGTTCTAAGAAATTTATATATATAACATCTTACTAATGACTTAAACTAAATACTTTCATTTCTTTTAAATATTGAGCTTAAAAATTTTGAGATTACACACTGAAAAAGAAGAAAGTCAAATGTAAGTAAATTTCTCTATTACTCAACATAAATTTATTAAGAAAAAAAATATACCTAAACTATTTTTACGTTCAATTTCAAATTGTTTTATAATTTTTATTAAAATTAGTACAGTATATATCTTATTCTTCTATTAAACATATTCTATTATATGCAATTATTTTTAAATTAATATACTTTTAAATATGTATTAAATTTTATTTTTTTATTTATTTTTATGTATATGACAACTTTCTATATAATCATTGGAAAGCAATTATTTATATATAACTTTTAAATTAAAAAAAATTAAAATTTTTTTCACGCTTAAAAAAATGAATGCTAATATTCAGACATTATAACGTGGTACTAAGAATTATATGATATTGTAGTTGTGATGATTGAAGTTATACATAGATATATGAAATGAAAGACAAAAGTTAGTTAATAGTACACATATCTATTTACACCCTTTTCGGAATAGAGGAAAGTAATCCCAACTACAGTTACGAAAATTATTAACTGATGCTTAAAGTTAGGAACTGAAATACAAATGGTAGTTATATATAACAGAAAAAATTCCCAACTTAATTGTCCAACTTAACTTAACTCATATATTGGATATATCTTCCTGAATTAGAATTATGCCAGCAAATTAAATTCATATTAAACCAAACTCCTTCAATCCACTTAACACTGAGTTTTTAAATAAATATTATAACAAAATAACAATACAATTCTACTTCTAATGTTGAAAGTGACAGATATAAGATATAAAAAGGAATTGAAAAGAAAGAAAAGAAAAATGCTAGCTATCTAAACAATGTAAAGACATGTAAAGAAAAGAAACAAAAACTTTCTGTAAATAACCTTTATATCAAAAACATAGAATCTATGTTATTGCTCTGAAGAAACATATATAGTGTTAAAAGTGGCTTAAAATAACTGCCGATCTCAAGGACCGATCTCAAGGACCGATCTTTATTAAAACGATATGATGATAACTTATACAGTTTCAAGCTATTTAAATTTATTGTATTTATATTAAAATCATTGCAATTAAATTTCAGTCCAATTATTAAATTTGTCTATTTGTTATGTTTTGGTAATATGGCATTATTGACACTCAAACTAAGCCTGGGATTTATTTTAATACTATTAAGGGTTTTATCTCACATAATTAAGTATTTGTAGTAAATTGTCACAATAATCTTCAATGCATGCAGTGACGTGCTCACATAGTTCTCAAGCCTTTTTAAATCTAATTTATTCTATAGTAAATTATCAGTTACAATAGAAATTGTAATTTTGTTTAATCAATTCAAATTTGAGGAATTTCAACAATTTCTCAAAATAGAGTCGTTTATTCTATACCCGCAGAAAAGTAAAACTTTTTTAAGATATTGTTTCAATTTTATCAAACAGATTGATAAAACCTAACCTTCAAGTCACTCAAATATATTTTGGATCATTACACTGGATATAATGGATTTTTTCAATAAAATGTTTTCATAAGAACTTTGAATAAGTTTATAAACTGCCACTTAATGAGAGTCGGTATGCGCTCATATTAGGTATGTCTAATAGACTTCTCTTTTGTATTGTCTACATTCAACACCATAATTAAGTTCATATGGAATACATCATACTAAATTGCACTAACAACAATTACAAAACAAATAATTTCCCTTCTCTCAATTTAAATCAAACATAAACAATAATATAAACAATAATATAAACAAAATACAAAAATCCAGCTAACAGCACCAAAAAACAGAAAAAATAAAGATCATTTATTAACATAACTCATCGTTATGATTACGTTGATGATTATATAACATTTTTACTTATAATAGCGATTTGTGGTTTGCTGTTTTTAAACACATCTGTGAGTTTGTTGAGCACAGCCCGTCCCTCCAACCTAATCAAAATTGTAAGACCATTGTCAAATATATTTGGGATACATTCTATGTATCTATATACACTTGACATGTACTATATCATTTTTTTTTCGTGGCGGTTGCCAAAAGCTCTCTATCGCAGTTTATTTCTTGTAGTAGTTAAATGTTTCTTTCATACTTTAGGTAGCATAGAAAAGTATAGATCATATATAGCATTTTATAATACTGATTTAGGTTTCAAGATCAAATTCTGTTTTTGACTTAAGAGTAGCATAAGACGCTATTTCTATTTGTTCCTTTATTTGTATAGAACAAACTTAATTTCAATATTTAGCACTCTTTCGACATCACTATTGTTAACAGAAAAGTGCTAGTTAACTGCATTAAAAACAAAGTATTAAAATGAAAACAAATTTCTGAGAAAACAAAACAGTTTGTTGTTAAACTTTTAATGTTCAAAATAAATATTTTATCTATGTATAACAGTGAATAACTTCAAGATTGTGTAATTTTTAGTGCTACAATATTCAACTTGCACCCTTTCCTCACTGCAATGCATTTTATAAAAATCCTACACATCATACAGGCAATAATAATTAGTATTATTGCATCACACATCAATAATTCGAAACTGTAAATAATTTACATACTAATATTATGTATGTAAACAGTAATATGTATAAATAGAATATTTTATTACACAAGATATTGAAGCATTTTTGTGATAAGGAAATAGTGAAAAAAGCATATTAAATTATTCAATAATTTAATGCAATTGCTTTTATTATGTAAATGTTATGTGTTGTGTTTAAAAAAAAAAAATAATTATATAAAAACTTTTGCAAACAATTAACAAGATTTTATTAAAATAAAAATAGAGTGTAGATAATAAGCTATTTAAGCAATTCAAGTAAAGCTGTGATAGTTTTAGTAAAATTTCTTAAAAAATTTTAATATTTTTACTGAACTATTGAAAAATTAAGACAAGAAAAATTTTTCGAAAAAAAAACAAATTTACTTCAACTCTATAGGGTTTTCTACATACTTTTGTACAGCTTGAACTGCACTCTAAAAATAATATCTAATAGTAAAATGCAATATCTGTATGTAATATACAAACTTCAATTGTATGGAAAAAATAAATTAACTTCGCTATGAAATGCACTACATTATTTGCAATTAAAAAAAATATTAAGAATTTAATAATAGCTTTTAAAAAGGAGAAAAACATAGGAACACGGAAATTGTAAATAAAAACATGAAGGCATAATATTTTTCCTACAATATAAGTTATTTGTTTAATTATATTAATTTATTGTGTATGGCATGCTTATAATTTTACTATTGCTTTTGTAAATTAAAAAAAAAATATGTGTAGTAAAATAAATGATATAATTATTTATAATATTAAATAATATATATACATATTATATATATATCAATATTTTTTTACTATCTATCTCTTACTATTTTTGTCTTTTTCTCTTTCTCTCATATTTTCTCTCTTTTCTCTTTAATTGAATATATATTACTGCTGCCTTTATTATGCTATATAACAACAACTATTTGTAAAATAATTAACTTCAAAACATTGAA